TGTGTCTATGCACGCATACAGTAAAGTTTCCCATCACTTTAACTCATTTATCCAGGCATATGCTCGGTGCTTTCCAAACAGACAGCCCGTTCTGTCGGGGACCTGAGCTGAAAGTGTCTTCAAAGCCATATTATATTGACTAAAAAAGTACTTTTACCTTATTGAACATCTGAACAGCTGCTGTTCAGCGAAGTGAAATGAATGTTACTGCTGGCCAGTGTATCGATAGTATATTAATACTGTGATATGACATTAGATGTCTATTCACCCATCCATCCATTTTCATGGGGCAGCAGGCTGAGCAAGGTGCTCCAGATGCCCCTCTCACCAGCAACACTTTCCAGCTCCTCCTGGGGGATCCTGAGACGTTCCTTGGCCAGATGTGATATGTAATCCCTCCAGCGTGTTCTGGGTCTGCCCTAGGGCCTCCCATCAGTGGGACTTGCTCGAACCACCTCTAAGGGGAGGCACAGAGGAGGCATCCTGATCAGATGCCCAAACCACCTCAGCTGGCCCCTTTTGATGTGAAGGAGCAGTGGCTCTACTCCAGGTTCCCTCCGGATGTCTGGGCTCCTCACCCTATCTCTAAGGCTGAGCCCAGCCACCCCACAGAGGAAACTCATTTTGGCCGCTTGTATCCGAGAACTCATTCTTTCAGTCACTACCAAGAGCTCATGACCATAGGTGAGGGTTGGGACGTAGATGGACCAATAAATCAAAAGCTTTGCCTTCCAGCTCAGCTCTCTGCAGATGCTGTGCCAAACCGCCGATCCATCTCACAGTTCATTCTATCCTTACTTGTGAACGAGACCCCGAGATACTTGAACTCTCATGCTTGGTGCAGTTGCTTATTCCCAATCCGGGGTGTGATTAGATGTCGTCTTAGATTTTGGATGGTGTGATATGAGTGTTGCCTTTTCCTGGTTTTAAAGGCTGCATAACAGCAAAGTAGTTTTCTGAACTTACCAGACTGTTCCAGCTGTTAGAATATTTGCCTTTACCCACTTAGTCATTATATCCACATTAGTGATGATTATCTATCAGAAATCTCATCTCATTGTGTATATATTACTCTACAATACCCTATCGTTGTACTATCCAGGGCTGTGCCCAAAAGTCGGATAATCAAATTTTCAATTGGAGACCCCTCAGTTGACTGAGACTGCCTCAAGTCGAGCCGTCTTTTTTGCGTTGTTTTTTTATGTCAGCCAGCACGCCCCCAGTTTGGAGAAGCATGGTGGAGTCTGACATAAAAGCTAAGCAATGTACTTCTGTGGATGGCGGTCAGCTACAAAACATATTTTAGCCACCTAAAAAAAGTTCAGCCTATAAAAATAAATATCAGTTTAAGTGTATGCTATATTGAGAGTATTTTCACTGCTTCATCTTTCTGTCAGATGGCAAATTCCAACAGGGAAGCTGTTAATTATATGCTCTCTCGTCAAAGCCAAAAAGAAAAAAAACAGTAATTTAAGCTCACTGTACTGAGGAGCTGATGGTCTACTGCTGCCTCAATCAGTTAGTTAGTTTGTGTTATTGTGTGACTTGTATGAACCCAAACTAACCCTTTTAAACTCCAGAAGCACACCGGAACACAAACTAACTAACTGATGGAGGCAGCAACTCCTGCGTCCAGGGATTTTAAATCAGTGTTTTTCTCAATGGAGTCTGGCTTTGAAGAGAGCAATGTAACAGCTCCAGTTTCTGGTCAGAAATCACTGTCTGACATTAGGGTGAAGCAGTGAAAATACTCTCAGTAGCCCTTTTTAGATAGGAATTGTGCAAATTTGCAGGAAAGCCCAATCAGTCTTTTTTCAGCATTGGCAGTATAAAAACAAAATCGAGGAGTGCGGCAAAATGCCGCCTACCTACTTTTGTTTATACAGAATGCGCCTTTTTCAGGGCAATGGGGGGCGTGAGCAAGTAACAAAACGTGTAGCTCAGCGTGTGACGTAAACAGTGACATGGGAGGGAAGCCGCGGGTAGTCAGGCGACGATTCTCTCACAAGTCTGCCCGTCCTTCACCGTCCCCGTCATTTGACGGTTAATGGCCTCTTCGTTTGCGAGGGCAAGGAGGACGCGTCTACCCAGTTGCTCATCTTTACTGTGTCTGTCAGGTTTGCGTTTCCCTCTTGCTACTAGCTGCTCACTAATTCCTGCTATCAGCTGTTTCCTGTTTATCTACCGCCAGTGGGTCGCTCGTGCAGCGTCATCAACAGCTCCTCCCACAAGTCATCAACAGCCCCTCCAGGGTGTCCGCGGGGTCTTAAAAAGTATTAAAAGTTGATAAATCAAATGTCGGAAAATTAAGGCCCTTAAAAAGTATTAAAAAATCTTAATCGCGATTTTATTAAGTATTAAATTTTCTTGGCATTCAAGCTTTAACAAAAAGTATCCATGAATGTATAATTTATTTTCCTCCTCGCGACTATTACAAACAATGATGTGTAGGTAGACACACTCGGACTGCCACTTGGGGTGGGGGCTGAGCGAAAAAAAAAAGTCCAAAAAAGTTAATAACTTAAAAATTATAGTGAAAGGGTAGTTTCTTGCAACCCTAGAATTAAGATAAAAATATTCACAAATGAAAAAGCACTTCTGGTTGCTGATAAGTAGTGTTTAACTTTTGATTTAACACTAAAAATTAAAACCCTCGGCGCGCACTGCAGCGCAAGCAGACAGATGCGCGACTCAGAGCAGCATGTGTCACTGACACCAGACTCAGAGCGCAGCGGACCGGTGGAAAATGCCCCCATCAGCATATTATTTTACATCAGTAAAATCTATTTTATCATTATTTTGAGTCACATTGTTGAAAGAATTTAGTTGTCTGTGTTCAAGCAGGATAATAGGTCTCCAATCATTGCACATCGGGCTTTCTGTTTCCTTGTCGGAGATGTTTTCTTTTTTAATAACCAACCAAAAACAATCAATCAATTAAAAACACAAACTGGTACTGGAACATGAAATCTTATATGCCTACCAGATATTGCTTCTCGTTCTTTGAGTTTACATATGGCTAAAGGGGGAAAAAAAACAACCGTAAACAGACGGCATGATTAGTGTTGCGTTCAAGGTCCCCCCAAAAAATGGGAGGAAAAAAAGGCTGAATATTCAATTTTTTTTTTTTTTTTTTTTTTTTTCCCCACAATTGAATCCTGTGCCATCAAATGAAGCTTTGAAGCTTTGAATTTTTTGGGTCAGCCCTAAATCCCACATGCAAGGGGCTAGCCACAAGGTTGTTGTTTTCAGCAACTTGAATAGTTGATGTTGAGCTGTAGAGCTGTGTTACTTGTTATGACCTAAGGTGTATTTTAATAAACCTGCCTTTGGTTTAATTTATTCTTTCAAGCTTTATTCCTTCTCATTTTATATGAGTTCTGTTGTATATTTGTGCTCCATAGATTTAATTGCAAACTACAACTGTTTAGTAAGTTAAAGATGTGCTGCTGCTAACGACAGCTTGAAGTGGCGATGAGGTCTTAAGGTTTTTTTGGAAGGTCTTAAAAAAGTCTTAAAAAGGTATTGAAATAAACCTCAGGATTCCTGCATATACCCTGCCCTCCCGTTGTGGAAGGGTCTGTTTAAACTAAAATGGTTCCGCCAATATGACTTCCCTACGAGGCGGAAAATTGGGCACCTTGGATCAACTTGCCAGTCCGCCTCTGTGTGTATAAACGCTCGCAGCTGGCCGGCAAAACGGCCCAACTTTCGCGGAAAATCTGGCCGTGTAAAAGGGGCTAAAATGGTATACACTTAAACTGATTTTTTTAGGTGCATGAAATAAGTTCTGTAGCTGACCCGTCCACAGCAGTAGATTGACTGGGGGCATGCCATCTGACATCCACTGCAGGTAGTACACTGACTGTGGATAAGTACCTCACACAACCCCACTTAAAAAAATCTGAACTATCCCTTTAAACCAAGAAACATCCAAGAAGTGAAAGATCAGGATGTCTATGCAGTCAATACAAAGTCTCAGCCTCTGGTGTTGAGTGTAGCATCATAAACTGTGTGCATGTCGTGTTTTTGTAAAGATTTGTGTGTGAGGCGTGTGTGCGTGTGTTTGTGAGGAAGCATGCACATATTATCTCTCTCATTCTCTCTCTCTCTCAGTCCGCCCACTAACTAGACACTGTGTGGGTGTGGATCCTGCAGGCTGCCTGTCTCTTTGCGCCTGCTATTAGTCACATATTGTGCACATTACACTGTCGTTGCACCAAGGCTGCATACACACACATTTAAATGTACACACACAATAGAGTGAGTGAGGTAGGTGCTCGTATCTCTCATGCAGTGATGTGTTTTGCTTTTAGTGATGGAAAAATAGCCTGGCATCAGCCCACCAGTCTTCTATGATTCAGTTTCATCCTATACATAAGTGTTCCATTTCTTTCTTGTATTATCTCTCTTTGCCCTTCAAAAGCGTCTTCTCTTTCATAATCTGTCACCTCTTTTTTTTTTTTTTTGGGTCTCCTCTCCTCTCCTCTCCTCTCCTCTCCTCTCCTCTCCTTTCCTCTCCTTTCCTCTGTCGGTGATGTTGTGATTTTGTGTCTGGCAGGTTGTTCTGCTGTGGCTGCTCTTGTCTCTCATCATGTTTAAAAAAGCAAAACGAAACGTTTTTGTCTCCTCCACCCGCATTCACCCACCCGTTCCTCCCCTTCCAACATCTCTATATGCATAAATCGCCCTCTCCTCCTCCTCCTCCTCCTCCTCTTCCTCTCTCCTCTCATTTCTTCTGACATCTGTGTCACATGGCCTCCTCTAATCTAACCTGCCATTCTCTCATATTTAATTTTGTCTCATTCATCTTGCATTGGCCCTGCCCGTCACTCTGTTCACCTGGCATCCTCTTTCTTCTCCGTCACCCCTCTCCCTTCCATTTCTCCACCTTCATCCCTCTCTGTGCATCCCCATGGTCTATCCATCTCCATCCCTCCTCCCCCCCTTCCTCCACCTCCACCCCCACTGTCCCTCCTCTCTCTGTTTTGTCTTCACAGTCACTGTATCCATCAGATTCTAGAAAGTGTCCATCACATTCACCAACATGACATAGTGCACAGGGACCTGAAGGTTAGTATATGTAGAGGAGCATCTGCATCCCTGCTTCCTTTCCCTCCTCCGTCCCTTTCCTCCTTCCTCCCTTCCTCCCTCCTCCTCCGTCTCGTCTCTTCGTGTCGTCAGTTCTTGTTCTAATGTCCGCCTGTCCGACTTGTCTCTCGGTATGCTCTCATGTTTCCTTCTTGCTTTTTTATTATATGGTATTTTATTTTTTAACTGGAGGACCCTGGCCTGCCTCACCCACCCTCCCCGCTCCACCTGCCCCCAACCCCCACCCCACCCGTTCTCTTTACAATCATTTGACAAACATTATAAAACTCCTGTTGCACTGAACGACAACCAGATCAATCAATCAACGAGCCTTTATACACACATAAACAAACACATAAACAAACCTTCTACAGGTGCAATAAATATCCAGTGTTTACACATACAACCATCAGTCTCTCCCACGAGGCGAGTTAAAAGAAGCCACAGTCACATTTACATTGATTTTTTTCTTCCCCCCCCATCCTCCCTTTCCTCTGGCTTTGAGTCGTTTATTTTATTGTATTGATCCAAGTAGTTTCAAACCAGCCTCATTCAACATCAAGTGCATCTCTGTGGTGTTTAGAGATCTTGGTTCATGTTTCATGATATTCTTTCAAGCGTCTCCTGAGCTGATGCTTTTATCTTCTGTCTTGAATTATACCTCAGAATAGTCTCAAGTTAAACCAACAATGTCATCATAAACCCTCAGGAAGGTTTCAGGGGATGATGTCTTCTCTCTGCACATTGACTACTCTTACTTTTAAGCTAATCCCAACAGTGCTGCGCCCTTCAAAATATCCTCAACCTAGATTTATAGAAGTTAAACCCTCCCATGCACACTCAGTTTACACACATTTTTAAATTCTTACATGTGATTTCATCAAACTCATTGAGTAGCATTGTCACACTCTTGTAATCAGTGAGCACTGACTGCCACAGCAAAAGGAAACATAAACTGATGCTGATTTCTGAAAAACTGCTGCCTCATGATGATCACCAACTGGGGATCATAATTAAACTGTCATTTTGATCGTCTCTGCAGCCCTTATTTGATTAGTTCTTTATTAGTATATTATGTGAAAGGTAATTTGTGCTCACACAGTATCTGCAACTACCACAACAAGTAATTTTACAGTGGCTTACTGAAGGCTTGAAGGAAATGGCCACTTTAGAATGAAAATACAGACAGTAGTTAGGCCTGTCGCGATATGCGATAAGTCGGTTAATTGCACGGTAAATTAAAAGGGAGACGGTCACTTTTCCAGCCACGAATAATTGCCATATTCATGCGTGTTTGTTTTCCTCGTGTCTTTCCACCAAAGAGACTGGACGACAAGAGCGTTCACTGCGGGGCTATGGGCTTCGCACACACACGCACAGTGCGATATTCGTGAGGGGGAGACGAGGCGGAGAAAAAAAACAACAGTTGAGCGTAAGAGAAAGACATGGAACTTGTTCCTCAACGAAATGCCACGGCCCCTGTGTGGGAGTGTTTTGGATTTAAAGCAAATGACAGAGGGCAGCCCAGTTATTTGGACGAGCAGGTGTGCCGGGTTTGTTCTAAAACCATCTCAACAAAAAGAGCGAATATGACCAACTTAACTGCACACCTGAGAGTGAGAGACTGACAGTCTATTTTTTTGTATTTATTTATTTATTTAGATATTTTTATGTGTAATTTCGGATATTTAAATTTTCTTATTTGCATTCCTAAATATTCTTGTTAAATAAATGTTTATTTCTCTTTAAAAGGGTGCACTTGCATCAATATGCCTTTATTATCATTATATAAGTTTAAAAAATGGTCTAAAAACAGAAAAATTACAACAATAATAAAAATGGTCTTAAAAGCACAATATTACGCAATGTCATCGCTTATCACAATAATTTCTGACACAATTAATTGCCCAGCAAAATTTGTTATCGTGACAAGCCTAACAAAACTTACTGACCCTCATGCCGACAAGAAGTCCAGTGTAGTTTTTTAATCCACAAAACTCGTTCGGGGTATCAGAGGATAACAGCTAGCTGGAATAACAGCTACACTTGTCTTGAAGTGCACGGATCTCACATTTTGAAAATGTAATAAAACGGCGTTAATATATTTCAAAAACTTCAGAATGGCTCGTCCATCACAATCCAAGTGCTCTGAAGCCGCGGCATGCAAAATTGACTTGAAAAGACGTAATTTACTCCACTTTTATAGCATAATTTCTAGCCATGGTCAGTTAGACTGCCCTGCAAGAGTGCTGTGTTTACATAGCAACTCGAGAGAGACTCGAGAACTTGCACCACCACTAGCCATCAGCTAGTCTTGCGCGAGGCTAACTGACCACAGTGAGAAAAGATGCTATAAAAGTGGAGTAAAGTCAAGGTCAATTTTGCATGCCGCGGCTTCAGGGCACTTGGATTAAGACGAAAGAGCCGTTGTGATGTTTTTGAAATGCATTAGCGGAGTTTTATTACATTTTCAAAATGTAGGTTATTCTGACTAGCTGTTATCCTCTGATACCCCGAACGAGTTTTGTGGATTAAAAAACTACACTGGACTTCTTGTCGGCATGAGGGTCAGTAAGTACTGTCTGTATTTTCATTCTAAAGTGGCCATTTCCTTCAACACCTTTGTGCCACTCTTATGTAAGAAACAAAAACTAATAAAAGATGTTTTTAGTGTGTCAAAGTACAGTTTTATTGCTTGCTTTATAAATAGTCGGTGTCTAGTCATAGTTAGGGGAATGCTGGGAAAGCGTGGTTTTTAAACTTACCCCAATATCAGTACCATACAGCTGTTTACATGATAGACTAGCATGTTTTAGTGAATTTCATGCACGTTTTCAAGACAGTATATCTGTGCTAACGTTGCTCAAGGCCATGTGTGCTATGTTTCGACCAAGTGCTATGATGTTATCAAGCAGGGATTTAAAACCTCATGAACTACAGGTCCTTGGAGGCTAGATTTTTACTTGTAGCTGAACAATTTCATACTGTCTGGATAAAGTGTTAGATCAGTTTTTGTTAAACCAGAAACAGCGCTGAATTTGACATCTCCCACCTCACCAGACTCCATTTAAATAAGCAGTATCTTTAGCATGAATACAGCCAACACATTTTCACTTCTCAGTGGCTGAATTAAGGGTTTATTTCAACAAAACCAAGTGGAAGATGAACCAGGATAGTTACTGTGAGTTTTATTTTGTCATCTTTTGAATGAGATGTGTTTTATGACGATAAAGTTACTCTTTATTTAAATGCAGTCTGGTGGGTTTGACAGTAACAATTTTGGAGCTGTTTCTGGTGAAACTAAAAGGATCGTACTCTTTAAGAAAAAGGTCTGTCTCTGTAAAGATCCAATGATCTTGTCAAACCCTTCGAGCCTATCAGTGGCAAAAACAAGCTCTTTAAGTGGACGTAATTTGAAGGTGGGAACATTCCCTCAGTGCAGTGGTTCCCAACTGGTCCAGCCACAGGGTCCAGATTTCACCTTACCCATTAATTCAAGGTCCACACAGTTTAACACATTCAGCGTCATACTGGCATTTTTCCCATGTCGTCGAGCTAGTTTGGTGTCTCTGTCAAGTACCAATCTATTGGTCTTTCCCTCACAGCAGGAAACAGCACGTCAAAGTAAAAGCTTTGTGCCAGAAAATCACTATACTTAAAAATAAAGTGTGTTATTCACAAATTTGACATGTTTATGAATGGACCCGCAATCCACTTTTGGAGCGCGACCCACCAGTTGGGAATCACTGCCTTACTAATTTCTAAAACTTAGACACAAAAACATGAAAATAGTGTCCAAGTTGAAAAATAACTTGTGAAGCCCTCCGAGGCAAAATGTGATTTGTGATATTGGGCGTTTTAAGTAAAATTGAATTGGATTGAATTTGTTTTCCCCCTCTGCGTTAAAAGATGTGATGTTTCAGGAGCTTTCCCATAAATACTGACTGTATCTATCACCAAAATAACAATATAATATTGTATTATAATGTTTCTATGGTTCCAATTAGCAGCCGTGTTGATATTGATGGAGTTAGAGTAGCAGCTGTGGTGGTATGAGAAGCTGCTGTTACTGTGGATACATATATTTAGATCCTTAATGGCTTTTTTTCATTAGATAATACTGAAAATACAGATTTTTTTTTTTACTTCAAGCCATGCATTTATAGCAGTTCCTTTTATTTACAGTGTACTTTTCATTTGCAGTTTATCTCAAATGCTACAGACTTTAAGATGTAGCAATACAGTTATTTATTAGTTCACAGAAAATGGCGTGCTCAAAAAACAGGATAAGCGTGTATTTTACTGTCATCTGCACCATTAGATTTCTCCAGAACAAGAGTGAAAACGAGAATTATTTTAATTCCTGTTTGCTGCTGTGATCTGTGGATCTAATTATCCAGTCCCTCTTTGAAGACTACCGTGAAGTGGGGTACAGATTACATACGTACACAGAAGCACAGCTCGTATACGTGTGCACAAAGCCAGCTTTTTATAGACGATGTCGTTAAAGCAAAGGGTGAGCAGGAACACTACAGGATGGATCTTAAAATACAGCAAATATTGGGTGTGATATCCACGGCATGACCACCCTTAACTGCTAACTAACACAGGAACGTTTAGGATGAACTCCTTCCATCAGACACAAACGCACACATGCAGAGGATTCTCACCCTGCGGGTTACAGAGCTCAACAGCTGACAAAGTGGGGGGAGGGTGGACATACAGACACACACACACACACACGCTGAACTGCATGCAATGAGTGTGCAAGAGATCACGCACGCATTCATAGATGGAAGTCGCTGTAGCCTCGACAGCACATTTACAGACACATGCAGCCACATGTTCGTGCTGGCTTTTAGAGACCACTCTGCACACGCGCCCAGCTCTTAGTATTTGGGCTGTAGATGTGACCTGGCTAGTATTTATTCATTGGGAGACCTTTAGAAACAAGAGACAGGATTCTGATTTATAGCCCTGAA